CTTCTTATTGGCCAAAACATCAGTTCTGTCCGACTCTGGCCGTGTTTCATATAGAACATATAGAAAAAACAAAACTACGTTCAGTTTGAAAAAAAAACAATTTAGCTGAATGTTAAATGAACAGAAGTCTGGTTCTACGGGGAATACTGCATTAGCTGTAGTTTTATTGGCTAATGTTCTATGAGGGATTGAGTGTGGATGAAGAAACAGACCTTCTGTTAGTTCAGAGGACAGAGGAAGTGATTTCTAACCTGTAGTCGAGGAGCACTTTGTCTGCTGACTACTTTAAACAGCTGATTAGACAGGAGACCTTTATTCCGTGAGGTCTGCTCCTATAGGAGATCACTGGTGATGTTTCACTGATTCTCTTTTACTAACAGCTTTTCTCTCTCATTTGCTGAACAGACCCTCACCATGGCACCCCCATGCTGCTGGAGGGGGTGCGGAGCCTGGGGGCTCTGAGGGACCCGCACTCCAGGCGAAGCAGCGAACGCAAGAAGAAATGATGAAAAGAGACTCATAGCTGATACCTGCATTTATATTTATCAACCTTTAATCGTCCAGTTCCAGGGAGGGGGCTGACAGTGGGCTGCAGAAACACCAACATGTCTGTTTACAAACCTCTGATTCTTCATGGACGTATGGATTGTGATTTTAATCTACTGTTGTTTTAATCTACATTGAAACCATGGGAACGATGCAGTATGTTGAAGAGAAGCCATCATATCGATTACTAACCTGCACACACTGCCAAACAGACACAGCTGCTGCTCAGGTCTGCAGCTCCAGCCCCCCCCCTTGTATCTTTGCCATAATTGGATTGAATTTCCACATCAGAATGACAGTAAAAGCATTAGGGGTGTAAATCACACCAATCATGGCGATTTGATTCAGTATCAATTTCCTGACCCAGACATTCCATTATTTTCGATATTCACGAATGCATCACGAAATACTTTCACACAAATGACTTGAACCCGAAAGGGGTGTGTAAGTCATCTTTTTCCTCTACCATGCCTGTCATGCCTACTGTTTATGCGAGTGTGTGTGTGTGAGCGGAAAGAGGGTAGTGGCTAAAGGAAGCGTGGTAGGATGGCAAGAGTCAGAATTACATGCAGGAGTAAAGGGATAAAAAGAGGAAAAACACTCCTGCGGATGTGTCGATGCATTGGATCATCTGCTGTTGGATTGATGCATCAATACAAAATGATTATTATTTACACCCCTAAAAAGCACCAATAAAATTTGATTCATTTTATGATTGGAATTTGATTGAGAACTGTTAGATTATTTTCCACAAAGAAGTAAATATACCCATCCTAGTTTGTGAAAGGTGTGTGTTTCCAGAAAATAACGTTGGCTCTTTAAAAAAATAACACATTTCCTTTAGCAGAGATTTTATGCAATATAAGTTTTGTTTTTTCAAATGTCACATAACATCTGTGGCTGTGGTTAGGGTGTATTAGCATCTGTCTGTTTGGGCTGTAAAGGCTGCAGACCTGTGCCTCATAGGCCTGTGATCCTGAACATGAGCAGAGCCCACTGTAACCCAGCAGGTTCCTGGAGGCATCATATAAGCAGGAAGTAGAGCCAAATGCTGCTGGGAAGCTGTAGAAAAACCAAAACTGATGTTTATCTAGCAATTCTGCTACTGCACTATATCTGTGTACAGTTGGTTTGCTTCAGTCTGTCTGATATAACATAATCTCCTGGTCACAAGAAACAATCCAGATTTCAGTGACTCCATCAGCAGAAGATCTGAAACTCAGTTTATACCTTTTTCTATAAGCTGTAGATGGTTTGATGTACACAGAATATTTCAGACAATCAAAGCTTCAATCGATGCCATGATGATTTTAGATGATTGCACCTTGCACTCAGCCCACTGCCAGACTGCATCCATTATGGATGTTCAGGTTTATATAGGACTGTTCTGCTGAGGCAGCCTGGCAGTGATCACAGTAACTGCTCAGCTTTCTGCCATCAGTTCTTACCAGAAAGACTCAAAGATTTAATTTCCAAAAAGGTACATCTAGTGTAGAGATTACTGTGTGTTCCCTTTACTTAAGAGTCTGTTTTAAACTGTAACCACAACTTATAAAACATTTGTATGATGTGGGACAATGTATCCTAGGATATGTCTTTGCATTGTAGTGTTGCACTCCCCACTAACCTACAGAACAGATGTCCTTTTTGTTTCAGCTTTATCTGAAAATAACCTGGTTTTGTTACTGAAGAGCTCACATGTTGCACATACATGTTAAAACATTCAAATGTCTGTGAAATAAATAAATCTGTTCTGTTGACATAACTGGAGTATTTTGTACATGATTTATCATAATTTGAGGAACATATTCTGAAGAAAATCAGGGAAGAGAGAGAG